AAAAATTTTATTTTTCGAGATTTTATATTATAATTTCATTTTGATCTGGATTTCATTATGATCTGCCACATTTATTATTACGTAAAATCAATATGCGTGTGTTACACGTGCATGACTCCTGAAATTTTAATATATATTTATTTATATTTTTTGTTCTCGAATTCTTTATATGTTTTGTTCTCGAATTCTTTCATATGTTTTCTCGAATTCTCACTGATAAATGATAGGTAGTTTGATAAAAAGGATTGCTACGTATTTATTATTATGGTTATTATCATCAGGGATGAATATTTCTGGCTCTTAGCCGTGTGAACTTATAATGGATCATATTACCTATATAATATGTAAAATGCAAAGTGTTTATGCCAAGGCGCAAAATAAAAAAAGGGTTATAAAAGAGCTGGGTCTGAATGTACACATATACTGTATACTATACATAGCATGAAGGAACGTTACTTTCAACAGCTCTAAATGGAGCCCCATTGATCCTTACTATTAGCTATACTTGGATAAGCACGAGATGAAAATAAAGACACGCGAAAAAGAATCAGATAAATATTTATTTAACTATTAATGACAGTTTTGTATCACTTTTTAATGCATACAATTGGCAGAGACTTTAATAAAGATGTAAAACTTATAATGCATTTATTGTATAAATGGTTATGTAAATGTACATACTTCCATTAAGAGAGTTCATTTAATAATAAGTTACACAATTTTTTAATAAAAGCCGTGGAATTTTCTCAAGTTTGAAAACTTTTTACAAATATAAATTATATCCATCAACTTATCAACTAGAGCGAAAGAAATTATGTATCCAGAATCACTAAATTCTTTTATTGAAGGTTACAACGAATCAGAATTCTACAATGTTGAAGAGTATCCAATTTCTTCGACTTCAATCACCCCAGTATCTTACATTCATAATGGTATTCTCTATTGTCAATTTTCATAGCGTTATTAATAGTTATCTGTCAAGTTGCAGATTATTCACCAGGATACAGTACTTATGACTTTGCCGAAGGTAGTTGTCGTGCTTGAAGTTGGCATCTGCTTGAAATTGCAACTTCAAGCACTTGAAGTTAAGCCTGACTGAAATTAGCCTTGAAATTAGATATTCGTGCATGCATTAGTTAGCAAGTTTAGGCAGGATTAAACTTCAAGCACGACAATGTCATAACGCAGTATTCATCGTAAAAGTAATTTACCGAACTGACCGATAACTAAGTTATCCGACATGTTTGACGTAAGCACTGAATTATCTTCGTGCAACTTATTCGATCACGCAAATTTGCACTCGTAAGAAGTGAGTGAAATTTTGCATATTCATATTAGGATTGGTCGAATAAGTTGTATGAAATCATTCTGTGTTTACATCAGACACGTCAGATTATTTATTGTCTATATTACTCGTTATATAATTAACTTTGAATATATCTGTTAAAACAATCAAATTAGGCGTTTCTATATTCCCTATAGATTCTACTACAATGAAACTATATGACTCAAATGCTCTCGCTATTAATGTCCAGCCAAATTATTATTTCCCGTATTTAATGGATTATTATCAAGATGAAATGTATCCATACACAGACAAAATGTTATTCGAGAATTCAAATATGACTGAACACTTTTCAATGCCAACATTAGAAAGTAACAATGGTATGCCATCAAAATCTCCAATGCCTAAACAAAGTCCACAAATTCAACAACCAATTCTTGTATCACAATCTTCAACTGCAAATGTTCATATTAAACCGAGAAAGTATAAATGTGATCTCTGTCAAAAATTATTTGTTCGGCCAAGTCAATTAAAAACTCATATGCACACTCACACCGGTGTGAAACCATTTAAGTGCACTTTTGAAGGATGTGGCCGTTGTTTCTCAGTTGTTAGTAATCTTCATCGTCATCAAAAAATTCACATGAAATCATCTCTTCCAGAAACATAGAATTATACGTATAATACATTATCATAAATTAATAATTCATTATTTATCATAAATTAGTTTTCATGAAAAGATTTTTAAGCATCCTTAATATTTTTGTAAGCATTTATTTTATAAACACATTCAATGTTATTTTTACATGATATAATTCACTATGAATAAAGGTTTAATATATTATTATCGCAACAATACTATTTTGTGCACATATTAATTCGATTAAACTATTATCATGAATTCGACAAAAATACATGTAAAAAAAGATATACGTGCTATTACATTTTCATTTAGGCACTACGTAAAAGTTAGTTGTTGCCATTAGTGTAATTATTGACCTTGTGTGCTACACATGATCTTTCGATTACATAACAACAAATGCAACATTACTCCGTTTGAAACTTTATGAAGTCGCCTGATATCATTTGATAAAGCCAAAACGCGTATATACTGTAACACTTCATTCAATTATAAATCCATTGCTGCCAAACCCCGGTAAATGGGGTCGTCTAAAGCCTTGTAGTATTTTATGCGTGTCACATGACCTTTAATTTACAAGTCGATTAGTAATCAATTTTAAAAACTTTGTAAAGTCAGTATGAATAAATAACTATATAGTGGCGCGATCCGAAAGCTTTAATATTTTTATTTGTCATTCTGGTGCTCCGATGGGAAATTTATTACTCCATTGAAAAGTTTTTTACTAATTTATTATAAATATGTGCTTAGTTTCGGATCTTATTACATATAATTAATAATTGCAACTTATTACGATAAAAAATTTTTAATATGCTCCATTTACAAACTCGTATTATTTATTATTTTATTTTTCTCATTATCTACGCATTTATAGTATCATTATCCGTTATCATCATTATTACTTAATTCGGTATTTTTATTTACCATCTGCCTTACCGAGTAAGGTTATTTGTATTACCGTGCGAAAAGATTGCGGGTGGTCATCAAAATTACGAGATATATGAGAAGTACCATAATCACAATTGTGGAGAAAGATCAGGACTAGACGTTTGATGTGACCCTGACCCTACCCCTAGTGTTATATTGAAGAAATAGTATTAAGGATTGCAATTTAATTTCTTATGCGATGAAGTAGTTCATAGTGAATATATAAAGATAAACCATATAATATAGTTAATAAAATGTCAAAATAAATTTTTTTTGACACTTAAACAAAGGTTCAAATATAAACAATAATAAATAATACGGATCCGTATCACTTCACCAACAATCATTTTCATAGACGTCTTATTTCACAGACAAAAAATTCACAGATAATTATAGACAGCTCATTTACCGTAATATATCTCCTTTTTTTTTATAACTCACACTAACCTTAAACATGATTTTAGGCCTAACTCTAACAATGATTATAATTATTTCCATGAAAATAGGTTGTTGGTGAAATAAACTATCTATAAAATAACCCTACCTGTGAATTAATTGTCTATAAAATAATTTTGTTTCTTAATTATTATCTGTGAAATGAAGTGCCTATTAAGTGATTGTCTACGAATGAGCAGCACTAAAAAAATATATATGTATATAAAGTGTATTATATAGTTTTATTATTATTACAAGTCCAATTATTTATAATACTCAGTTAATTGTTGTACCTTTTACTATCCTACGTTAAAAATAATCAAATTAATTAACAGTTAAAGATGCAATACATAAAGAAAAAAATGCTTACCTCTTAAAATCGTAATGTTCTTTTGAAACCTTCTCAAACCAAACGTGTACCATATAGCTGGATTCAAACCATAACCAACGTATACCACTCAAAGGCTAAATGGAATCACTAAACGGATCACTCAATGCAGTACATGAAAGGAAAGAAAAAGCTTTAGAATAAAGGTAAAGTTAAAAAAATATATTACAAACCACCGTAAATGTGCGTATACAAGACCTAAGTCTGTTACAATCAACCTATTTTTAAACCACTTAATAGACCTCGAGTCTAGTATATGCCCAGAGGTTATATCGCGAAAAGAAAAAATTTTAAAGTACATACACACCTTGTACTTATAATAGGCAGTTTAGCTGCATTTAATCAATAAAAATGTGGTTCGCACCCGGGTCTAATTCATGGTATGTCTACTATTATTCAGGAGATCTTGTATATGCACATTTACGGTAGTAATAAAACGGTGGCGTTTTATATGGATAGAGCAAGTGCCATATATATATTAGTTTATTATTGTAGTTTTAAACTTCAATAAGAAATGGTATAGTTAGTATAGTAGTTTATATATTATAATACGTTATAATGAAAAAGTAACCGTTAATACACGAATAAATAGAATGTGTTAATTTTACAACTCATAAAGTCGTATCCAATAAACCTGGATATTGTTATTACTAATCTTTATTGTAAAGTGTGTACTTATTACGCTTCATTCATTAATTTATATATCATTCGTAGATTAGAAAACAATATATATCATTTTGCAATTAACTTTATACTAAAAACGTAAAACACACTGCCATCGTTGATATTCAAAAATGTATGGTTTACCTATTTTTGCGTACTATGGGTTTGCTAGTATTATACGTTAAGAATTGTAGGTTGGAAGTTCTTGGATATTTTGTTTAGTGCCCGTTTACACTATAGAAGCTTCTTTTAAGATATTTAACATTTACAACAATTTTGATGAAATTAGAAAATGTATTTTAAACAGCCAAAGGCATACCAATTATTTTACTTTATGTAAGATCGCACCCTGTATAAGCATTGTTCGTACCTGAACAAGTTTTTTTACTACTTTAAACTCTTAAACCAGTCTGTCAGAACCTTAGGCAGATCTATAACGTTGCAGATAGGAAGTTCATGAGGTTATTCTTTTTGATGAACCATTGAAAATCTAAAATCATACAGTAGTGGAAGTTCCAAATTTCTGTCAATAATACTGTATCACAGTTAGGGGTGGGTAAGTCGAGCATCATTGCGCAGCCTGCAGCATTATGCAAGATGACCAGAATTATATCAACTGGCCAGAATTATACCAGCTAGCCCGACTTTAAAATTGCACTGCGCAGTCTTTCAAAATTTCTGCGCAGTGGCCCATCCCTAATCACGGTTGATATTTATAACAGGGTTGGCAAATGACAATGTCATTTAAAATTTTAGTGATAGATGAAAAATTAGTGACAAATGACAAATGTCATTTATTATTTTAAAAATAACAAATTTTAACCAATCACAGGATCTTGAGATTGTTAAGACTTCGGGTGTTTTAGGATTTAACCAATCCTAAAATACCCGAAGTGACAAACCTGATTTACAATGTTACACAAAAGTGATGTTCAAAAAATGTTACCAAAACTTATTACCGACAACATTCTTATATGGTTCAATGGTACGGGGGTGTATCCCTACCTATACGGGAACAGCTCAGAGTACAATTCCCATGGTGTGATCCCTCGTAGAAAAAAGTAACCAATATTCTCGAATGGTAATTATTTTTTCTGAAATGAATTTTCATTTTCTAGAATTTATAACGTCTATAGAGCGTAATTACGAAATATTACGTATGCTAATAAAAAAACTGCGAAGTTCTGATTTTTAAAAATCTTCGATCAAAGCTTAGCTAGCTATCGGGAAAATAAATTAAATCTGCGCAGACTTTTAAGTATCACGAACCAAGCATCGCCCAAAGATCTGTTATGTTCGGTTTTTAAAATAAATATTCATTCCGATTTTTGTTCTTTTATTACGTAAATTGGTTGTAATTTTCTTAGGGAAATTCTGTTTTCACCCGGGTTAAAGTCACCCGATAAACTATAATGTCATTTACGTAACTAAAATCATTTAGTTTTATAATATTTTGGGTGACTTTAACCCAGGTGAAAATAGAATTTCCTTACGTATTATTATGTTTTGCTGAAGTACATAATTAAAGAAATATATACAATTGACCGTGTGCTAAATCAAACTTCAAAAATTTTCCGGAGCGCAACCTGGTACACATTTTCGGGTTGCATCTGATTAGCCAGCTCACTAAATAAATAAATGCATCAAAAAGAGCATTTACGCACAGATAGTAGGATATCTCATATTCATTATAATCACGATCAAACATCACATCATAGTAAGTATATCATTTCTAATTAAGGTAAAACTGAGGTTTATAGAGTGCGTGCACCGTACGTACGTACGTACGTAAAACCAAGATATAAGCAGCAAATAAATAGTAAGTTTTCAAACGCATTTTTATTGCATTATCGAACTGTATCTACATGCAAATGCATAATACAGTAAATAATATAAATCACAAGTTGAAGTCACGGGGATAGATCATCCAATCCGATGCAAAAGAGACATACACATATCGATATGTACGTTGTGCATAATCATAATCCGTTCCTAGTATTTTGACGGTTAACATCGGATGCATATTCAGCCAAATAGTAAAAACACATTTGAAAATATTCTGATGAAATTTTTTTTACCAAAGAAAAAAAATTAAGAGAAATAAAGTTACTGATTAATATGGTTAGGATTGCTTATTGTTTACAGAAATGCGTCTTAAACGACTTTTATTTCCTGGTACTTTTTTGAAAAAAGAAGGATTCAATATAATAATTTATTTAAGCAATAAAATATAATTTTATTTAGTCCATTTCATTTTCTTGGAAGACTCGCCGCACGCTTCAATTTCTTTATATTTATCATTTTTTAATTTAATATAAGGTTTGAATCAATCTTTTTTAATGTTAATCATTTTATTGCGGACCAAGAACGGTTGAAGATATATCTGTAACTTTTATGTGAATAATAATTTGACTCTATTAAACCTCATGAAAGATTAGAATCCTTAGCATCTGCCTAACCACTACATCTATACCATCTTATTTTAAACAATTTTAAAATAAAGATTTTTTATTTAAAGCAGATATAAATATTATAACTGGATTAAGTATTATCCAGAATACTTATAGTTAACTAGTTAACCAAATTATAACTAAAGTTTTGACATTGGAGTTGACAT